GCTTCCTATTTTGTCCATGGATGAACAGGGGAAGGTCACAAATCCTCCTCTACAAATATGATGATATTGGATAGAGGAGGGGATCCATTCTTTCTCTCACTAAAAATAGTACACTCTTGAGACAGAGTAAGAAATATAATTCGGACTGAGGAGATTTACCCGGTCTAGGTCATACTTTGTGTTCTTGTTGTGTGTTTTATATTACGGGTCAAGTGTCCAGATTAAACCCGGTTAACCCGCCCAGCTATATTTACACCATCACTACGTATATGAGATTTTAAATGTTAACTGAAAAAAGTCAAAATTGAACAAATACTTAGGGACATATGTAATATTTCATGTGCATTTAGTCAGAAAATTGCTCTGGGGTACCCCATATTTTGAGAAACTAACTGCCGGGTACCTTATATTTTCAAAATATACTCCGAGGTACCTTCTATTTTGAGAAACTAACTATCGGGTACCTCACATTTTTAAAATATACTCCGAGGTACCGTCTATTTTGAGAAACTAACTATCGGGTACCTCACATTTTTAAAATATACTCCAGGATACCTCCAAATATACATTAATTTTACGTCATTAATTTTAAGAAAATTGAGTACTCAATTTTAAAAGTATTGAGTACAAATTTCTTCAAATTAAAAAGATCTTGGTTACTTTTAAAATTCCAAACCCCTATTTCTTAAAATTAATGGCGTAAAATTAATGTATATTTGGAGGTATCCTGGAATATATTTTAAAAATGTGAGGTACCCGATAGTTAATTTCTCAAAATAGAGGGTACCTCGAAGTATATTTTAAAAATGTGAGGTACCTGATAGTTAGTTTCTCAAAATAGAAGGTACCTCGGAGTATATTTTAAAAATATGAGGTACCCGGCAGTTAGTTTCTCAAAATACGGGGTACCCAGGAGCAGTTTTCTGGTATTTAGTTGCCAACTCATACTTATTAATTGTCTAATTAACATTTTAAATATCACGTATTTAGTTTATTTGGCAACAGCTGGATAAAAATGTGAATATGTACTACTTCTGTTCCTAAGTATTTGTCCAGTTCTGACTTTTTGCAATCAATTATTTTAAACTTTTCACCTAAAATTAAATAAAATATATATGAAATATTAATAAGATAAAATTATATTATGAAAATAGATTATAAAATACATCTGATAAAATTATTTTTGTATCAATATCTAATAGTCTTTTAATTATAGTAAAAGCTTAAATTTTTTTTGAAGTATTCATGTAATTGTTTCTAAAAAAATATTAAAAAAAGAGTACTCAAAAAATTAATACTCCATAAAAAGAAGTAAATTAACATTAATGATTTTACAATCAATTAATTATTGGACAGAGTGAGGTAGGGCCATTTTGTATTTTCTCAAAGTTGAAGTGATATGGAATTGGTTTTTAATCCACGAAATTTGCCTTCCACATAGCAGCAATTGAGTTGAGGGGCATCCATGCCCCTCCATTTGCAAAGGTACGGTAGCAAATCCCTTGATTTTTTTTGAGTAAATTCTATAATTGGTGGTTCTTTTATGGGTACCTTTCGTCACAATTCCAAAGGCTATTCCGTTTGCGTCGTTTGTGAATTACAATCATTTTTTATGACAATTATAGTCTACAAATGTGATCTTTCGTCAGAATTCTAACCCACAATCATAGTCATTATTTTGTGTTATCTGCTTAACTAATATCAGATCACGTCACTAGACATAATGTTGACGTCAAATTATATTTTTAGCCTTTAAATTAACACCAACACGGTAGAAGATAAAACAAAGGACCATTTGTGGAAAGGTACCCTTAAAAAAAGGACTACGGGGTAATATTTGATAATAGAGGACTAAATATGGAAACTTTCCTGTTATAAAGGACCAATTATGAAATTTACTCATTTTTTTATATATACCTCTCTTTTTCTAATTTCTACCCAGCCCACAAGCCCAAATGGCCCAAAACCAAATCTTGATTCTTTTATTATGGACCACTACTAAGACTTGAGTATTGATTAAACCTAAATAAACATAAATACCTAATACTTGTATTTTTTTTCCGGATCAGCGACCAACCGAACCAGCGGCCAGCGTCTTCCTCAACGATTTTCCGTTTCCGGATCCAACGACGAGCAGGCAGCGACCACCGACCAGCGTCTTCCTCAGCGAGTCTGCGGCTTCAGCTCACCGCCTCATCTTCTACATTCTTCAGCGCATCACCTCAATCCTTTGCACCATCATCTACTCTCTTCTCTGATTTTAGGTACGAACTCTCAATTCTCCTTTTATTTTTCTTTTTATTTTAGAATCAACGTCTCAAAATTGGAATTGGAATGAAATTTTTGCTCTTATATATATATATATATATATATATATATATATATATATATATATATATACATACACATATATACATACACACACACACACACATATATATATATATATATGGGATGACACCTTACGGTGCGATGACATCTTCGGTCAGATGACGCAAAGCTCACCACATTACACTACAAAGCTCACGAATGGACAATGCAAAGCTCACCTAGAAATAGAAATAAAGCAAAGCTCACTACTTTGAACCTCAAAACTCATCTTTTTTAATTTTAAAAATTAAAAAAGTAATCAAAAATAAAATAGCAACACTGGTCAACCACCAATCAACGGCAGGGGCGGAGCAGCGGCAGCGGGCGGAGTATGGCGGCAACAGTGACCGGAGACTCCAGTGAGATTACACTTTACGGTGAGATGACATGCTTTAGTCAGATGACGCAAAGCACACCACTGCCCACTGCAAAGCTCACCAAGCACACCTACAAAGCTCACCAAACTCTAAGGCTCACTATATTTTTTTAATATTTTGAATATTTTTTGAAAAAATAAAATCAAAGGAAGGAGTGCTGACTAGATTTGACCGTTGACTCCATCATTGACCGCTGCCTGCCGCCGCCAGTCGCCGGCCGCCGGCCGCCGGTCTCCGGTCGCCGCCTCCGCTGGTCGCCGGTATATATATATATATATATATATATATATATATATATATATATATATATATATATATATATAGTAGATTTACTCCTCATCAAGCAAGCATTGACTCTCCATCTTTTAGGCGCAGGGCCTTGTTTCCTCCGTAGTCTCTGTACAGGCTCCGGAACCATGAGCAGCTCCACCCTCTTTCCCGAACAGAACCATTTAGCGGCTCCCCTCACCTCCCAGGTTTTTTTGTTGTTGAATTTTTTTTGTTTACTTTGATTATATCTTTTAACCCAACCTACTGTCATGGATTTTAACTTTGATTTGTATATTGAAAAACACACACACGCACATTTGACTCCAATTCCAACACCAATCTTACGTTCTGTACTTCTGTTTCTGCTGTGTAACAAAACCGAATTCTGTTTTTTTGTTTGTTTTACGGAGTATTTTTATGATGCTTATAATAATTTTGGTGTTTCATAAGTCAACAGCTTTTAATATTCCCTCCGTCTACAAATAAACTTCTCGTTTACTATTTACACTGTCGAATTTTATTAACTTTGTTGAGCTATTTTCGTAGATCTTTAGTTTTGTAGATCTTTTAGTCATGTCACTTCCAGTTTTGTACGGAGTAGATCTTTTAGTATACAGTTACTCCTATTTTTCTAATTTCTACCCAGCCCACAAGCCCAAATGGCCCAAAACCAAATCTTGATTCTTTTATTATGGACCACTACTAAGACTTGAGTATTGATTAAACCTAAATAAACATATATATATATATAGATACATACATACGTACATACGTACATACATACATGCATACATACATACATACATACATACATACATACATACATACATATATATATATATATATATATATATATATATGGGATTGACTCCAGTAAGATGACACCTTACGGTGCGATGACATCTTCGGTCAGATGATGCAAAGCTCACCACACTACACTACAAAGCTCACCAATGGACAATGCAAAGCTCACCTAGAAATAGAAATAAAGCTCACCAATGGACAATTTTATTAACTTTGTTGAGCTATTTTCGTAGATCTTTAGTTTTGTAGATCTTTTAGTCATGTCACTTCTAGTTTTGTACGGAGTAGATCTTTTAGTATACAGTTACTTTTTAATATGCAATTTTTATTTTTAAATTTTACACCATTTTTCATATTAAATAATTTGAAAAAATTTCGAGCAAACATCGTAATGCGCAATGAGAAGTTTATTTGTGGATGGAGGAAGTATATTTTAAGAATATATTGCGTAGTATTTAAAGAGAAACAAAAAAAAGAAAAAGAAAAAAGAATGTGTTTGTTTATTGCTTCTGCTCATTACTCGTACTTAGGTCTCCTGTTTGTTTAAGCCAAACCAATTTGATTGTGTTTGATGTGTTACCATAATTAGATTGATGATTCTCCCAACCTTACACGCACACACGCACACCAATTGAATATTTATCCTTTTAAAAAAATTTCTCTCAACAGACGACCTGGACAATGATAATGTTGGAGGAATCATCAGTTGATGAATGTGTGGTTACAGAAATCTTGATAAGACTCGGCAGCGGCAAAAGTGTAACACAATGCAGACTTGTTTGCAAAGGATGGAACTCTCTCATCTCTACTCCATATTTCACCCATCGCTACAACACCTTTCAGAAGCACCGCCGCCCCAACCCCCCCTCCTCCTGCATCCATGCCTTCACTCTTGTTTGCCAGTTTGGCGAACCTGAGAGAACCCCATGCCCCATCTTCACCCTTTCCTCCAAAACCACCACGACTCCCGATGATAATGATACTACTAGTCCCACGATTACAACTACTGTGGATGACATCACTCATAGCCTCCAGAGTTCGGTTGCCGATCCTGGTCCAAAGCGAGTCAAAACGTCGTGTCGTGACTTGCTTTTGCTATGCAATTACTTTGGTCGCTGTGGTGGCACCCAGTATTATGTAGTGAACATGCTTACCCTGGAGTGGAAGAAACTCCCCCTTGAACCAGAACCATCATATTCACTTGGAATCAGAGTTGGCATTAATTATCGCGGCTACATCTCTTATTCCACTGGACTTATCATAAAGGAGGATGGTCGTCACAACACTTCGGGTGGTTTTAAGGTGGTTCGTATCCCTTTTCTTGACAGCAGGTGTCCTGTTAAAAAGAGAATGCGTCGCTGGTGGCGGTTCACCGTGTTTGGTGTTCATATATATTCTTCGGATACGAACCGATGGACTGAACACACTGTGGATTGGTACCCTTTTTGGCTCACCCGTTATCTGACCAACCTTCCCATTGTCTCCCACAACGGAATGCTCCATTGGCTCAATGGCCACTCTCTTGTGTCATGGAATGCCTTTGACCTTCTTCCATCCCTTTCGTCGTCTAGCCCTCCTCTCAAGCTTAGCCGCACCATAAAGTTGCCCGAGAGGAAACTAGTCGCCCCTAGTTGTTTGCCACGGGATGTCAGAGACGATGTCACACAAGACTCATTACTTGGGTTCGGACTGAGTCAAGACTGCCTCCATGTGATCATCGAGCATCGGGGCAGCGAGCGGGCCCTTCGTGTGTGGCGCCTTGAGGAGGAGAAGAATGACACACCAAGTTGGCTTTTGGTCCATAAGGTGGTCGTCTCCGCGGATCTTCCGAAAGCCGACATTGGGAGAAAAGGGCTCAAATTTGGGGCCTGCCACCCCCATGACAACAACGTCATCTTCTTTGAGATGCATGGTGTTGTCATTCGGATGAATTTGCGCACTCGAGAAGTCGAGCATTGTTTTGACACCAGCTTTGCGAGGTTAACCGCAACTCCAGTCTTGCTCCAATTCTTGCCAACGGCCTTGTAAGCACTCAAGACAACAAGTACCAAGTTTGTTTTTTTTCTTTATTTCATTATCTGTTCATGCTTTCTCTTGTTTTGGTGATTTATGTACCCGTTTAATCTTACGTGTTGCCAGTTTTTCTTTCAAAGTCACACTACTAAATTTTTGTTGCGTTCGAGTAAGAGTTTTAAACTTTTCTCTTCATACATTTTGTCTACCTGCCGATTAAGTTTGCTCGATGTGTTTGGTACAAGTTTTAATATAATTGCATGGTTTCTCTTTGAGAATTAGAATTTTATTCAAAAAGAAATGCAAATTGTGGTAGGCAGTTTGCTTCCTAATTTCCTAGTTTAATAAGTCCATTGAGGATAATGAAGTGTGTCCAAATAGTGAAGCTATCTAAATCTAAAACTTGTTGGCCATAAATTATTGAGATTGTGAAATAGATCACCTAGTAGTACTAGACGGATCTCAATTGAAATAAGAATCTGAAATACCATTAAGTTAAAGATTAGAAATTAGGCCGGGTGGAGCGAGCTTCGCATTGCTCGCAGGTCTTGGGCTAAAAACGTACGTATAAGAGTTTGGGACATGTCTAGCATTGCTAGATAAGGGCTCCAACCTACCTCCGAGAAGTGCTATGTGGTTTCGAGAGTGGCTTTGCTAGGTGTTAAGTGTAGAAGAACAAATAAGATCTGAACTGAAATAAATGAAGAATTGATCATGATATTCAATAATGATATTTATTAATTCTCCTGACATTGTGTGAGCGTATATTGATATATGCTAGTGATACGGACTCCGTATCGGATAAGGAAGACTTAGAGCGTCTTCAAACTCTTGAGAATATGAGATGAGGAAGAAGAAGAATTGAGACGAAGAGAATCGGCGAACCGAGAGAGAAGAAGGGATTAGGGTTTGATTTGTTTATTGCTTGATTTACTCTAAATGGAGTTACATCTCTTTATATAGAGAAAAAGGAAATCCTAACGCTAACCTGACGGTTCAATAAAAGCGATGAAGGAAAGAACCGTAAATAAACTTCGAATGAGCTTATAATTTCACTCACCTAAGAAAATCTACAATACAACAACAACAACAACAACAACAATAATAATAATAATAATAATAATAATAATAATAATAATAATAATAATAATAATAACAACAACAATAATAATAATAATAATAATTTTAATAATAATAATAATAATACTATTAAGTATCCTACTCTACTATCCATAACACTCTCACCCCTTAGAAAACCAAGGTGGAGGCTCGCACTCATGTTTTGGGACCAGAGAGAGGGTGATGAACCCAAAATGATATCCACTTCTCGACCAAATATCAACTCACATGCCTCTTAGAATGTGATGGGAGAAATATGAGATAGAGCCATTCATGAGACTTGTTGCTTGAATAACAACTTTCAGTACTTGACTTCTCAATTTTTTTGGTGCAACCATAAAAAATTACATAATCTATGCAAACTTGCACCTGAAGATATTGGTCGCGATGAGAGTCGTCCCTATCAACATCGTTTGAAAGAACACCATTGGCAACGAGCACGGGAACAACGTCAAGAATAGGATCAACATTAATTTCCTCCTCAGATTCCTGGTCAAGAGAATCAGTGTGTTGCATAGTCACCGTATCGGTCAAACTTGGTGGTGCAGACGGAGCACTGATGAGGTTCCTTAACGCGTCCAACACATGCGTTCTGAAATTTTGTAACTCCAAAGTAATTTGACTCGACATAATTGAGGAATCACGAACCAAATCCTGCATTGAACACGAGATGTCCACCTCAAACATAGATAAGCCGGAGTCATAAGTTGATTGACCCTCAATATTAGTGATCGAGCGGAGCGTCTTGAAAATTTCATCAAGTTGAGCATAAACTAAGCATACTCCTTCATCAAACTCAATTTTTACATGTAAAACAATCTCCATTAAATTGAAAAGATTATCAACAATGAGTATCAATAGAGTGCAGAGAATCTCTGAAAATATACTCCCTCCGTCCCACTCTTTTTGTCCACTTTCATTTTTGCACGTCATCCAATGCACTTCTTTAATCCATTTTATCTTGTAATTTATATATTAAAAAATTATAAAAAATATATATTAATAATCTATATGTTAAGACAAATCAAACAAGATCACACATGACTATTTTTAGACTTACACATTGAGAGAATTTGATGAGTCAAAGTGCTTAGATGAACAGTTCCAAAAGTCAAAACTTGACAAAAAGAGTGGGACGGAGGTAGTAATCTCCAAACATAATGAATTATTTGGACGGCCACAAAAATCTGAGCAAGAAAATCGGCGGTAGGAAAACAAACAAATATCCACTCACGCACCGAACATGGGCGAATCAATTTGTATGCTGCACATTCCCCAATCTGCTGCACTTGGTTTGCAATGGGAGGTGTACGGCCCAAAATCAAATTGTCAAACTAGATTCCCCAAATTTGCTGTACGTTCCACAATTTGCTTTCCTTCCTTTTTTTTGTTTTTTTGGTGATTGCGAATCAATGAGAGAGCACCAACAAATTGACAAACCTTTTTGGGGACGGGGAGCAGATCTTGGACAGCGGAAAGTAGTTAGGGTAAAACCCTAGCCTCTGGTGATCTGAATTCATTTTTTTTGTGGTTCACTCTCAATCGAGATCTACTCTCAATGGAATCACCAATGATACGGACTCCATATCGGATATGGAAGACTTAGAGCATCTTCAAACTCCAATCAAGATGAGGAAGAAGAAGAATTGAGACGAAGAGAATCGGTGAACCGAGAGAGGAGAAGGGATTAGGGTTTGATTTGTTTATTGCTTGATTTACTCTAATGGAGTTACATCTCTTTATATACAGAAAAATGAAACCCTAACGCTAACCTGACGGTTCAATAAAAGCGACGAGGGAAAGAACCGTAAAGAAACCTCGAATAAACTTATAATTTCGCTCACCTAATAAAATCTACATTACAATAATAATAATAATAATAATAATAATAATAATAATAATAATAATAATAATACTATTAAATATCCTACTCTACTATCCATAATAGCTAGTCAATGAATTCGTTCTGGTGTTAGATACTTCTACACAATGGTGGTCTTCAACTAATCATGCTGGCTAACTAGAAATTGCAATACATTTAGGTAATGTTTGGCAACTAGCATTTCATTTCAATTCATGCATTTCAATTCCAAAATTTGAAATCCTGAATTTCAAATGACAATGGGAGATGCATGGATTTCAAATTAAGCTTTGTTTTGAATATAAAGAATTTGATTCAAATCCAAATTCAAAATGCTTAAGTTTCCCAAACATGGAATTTAAGCCAAATCCGGATTTGAAATCCAAATCCATGTTCCCAAACATATCATTAAACAATTTCTCGGAGCTCCTTTATAATTTACAATCAAAATTTTCTTCTCAAAAAGCATGGATCACAAAAAATGATTCTAGTCAAGATATTAGCCAATTGCCACTTTGCCAGTCTGATAAGCGTTTAGAAATCACCCCTAATAGGACTAAAACATTGTGCTTATCCCTAAAATAGGAGTTCATGTTTTTTATCCCCCAAATAGGACCTCTCCCGCCACATTCTTTCTTTCTCTCCCGATTTTGCCCTCTTTTTCCTTTCCGTGTCACAATTCACAATCTGCCTCGTCTACATTACAACTCTTTGTAATACACATTACCACATTACATACTGTGACACTTTACATTACAATGGTTCATAATATTCATCACCACATTACAAATTATGACACTGGTAATATCCACATTACATACTTTGTTGGACTATCATGAATTTTTTTAATTGCATATTAACCATTGCATATTTTTATTTTTTTGTTATGCATTTAAAGTCAACATGACCATATGAGTTTAAAGGACAAAACATGGACATGTTGTGAATTCTAATTGGATCAATTTATTTGCGTTCATGCGGTGGCTGCTGTTAGGAGACATCCCGGCTTATCTTGTTATGATTTTATTTCTCCTTTCTACAAAATTGAGACGTTAGTATATATGTACATATGCTGGTATAGTCCACCCAAACACATAGAAATCCTATTCCATGAGTGGAAGATCCAAACACTATTTGATATCACTTTATGTTGCATTACATGACTTTTTTTAGTATGATTTAGTTGTGTTAAAATTGCTTGNTGGCATATACATGACCAACTTTAGGGACTCTTATAAATTGTTGTACGTGTAAATGAGAAAACTAAAATTTCATATTGTAAATGGCCACCTTATGTCAACAATAATGCAACACTTAACTTTAATAGTAATATACTTATTTTATGTTTGGTAAATAAAGGTTTGCGGCAAGATGAGAGGGAGGGTAGGGTATTTTGGGGATGGCCATGCAAACTAAGTCCTATTTGGGGAATTTATGTTTTGGACTCCTATTTAGGTATATTTGATATGTTTTAGTCCTATTTAGGTTTTTTTCCCATAAGCGTTCCAATCCCTAGCGTTCATCACGATTCTGAGCAGACGTGGCAAGCATTAGCACCAAAAAATCGCAGTGGTAATAATTTTTTTTAAAAACAAGTTGGAGATGAATGAATTCAAAAAAAATATACTACCTCCCTCTCCAATTTTACAAATTGGAGTTTACGAGGAGAAATATTTTATTTTTTAAAATCATTTTATATATAAATCGGTATATCGATAAGAAATAAAAAAATTACATATTAAAAACCTATATCAAAAGTTCTACACCTCCGTCACATTTTGTACTGTCTGTTTTGACTATGAAGCATATTTAAGGAAGGGAAAAAGTGGTGTTGATTTTTCAAAAATGCCTTACTTTTTTTACGAGGATGAAGATGAATGAGAAGATAAAGTGAAGAGAAGTGACTTATTTTAGGGGTAGTTCAGGTATTTTACCCCTAAAAGTTTATTATTGTAAGAAACATGTATTTTATTTTGGGACGGACAAAAAAGGAAAATATGTAATTTAAAATGGGACAGAAGGAGTACAAAATAAGAGGGGACAAGAATATTTTATTTGATCAAATCATTAATGAAATCGCGTAAATAAACAAAAGTTATCGACAAGAGGAAAAAATTGTAATCAAATTGAAGACGAAAAGAGTACTACCTCTGTCGCAGAATACTTGTCCAATTTTAAATTTTGTAATCAATTATTTTTAATCTTTAACTTATAATTAAATAAAATATATTTCGTATATTAATTAGATAAAATGATATTTTAAAAATATTTTATTATATGAATCTTATAAATATCTAATAAAATTTTTATTTAATTTATGCTCAGAATTTACCAATGCTGACTTAAAAAGAATCAAAAGGAGACAAGTACTCAGGCACGGAAAACTTTTTTATAGAATGGATGGAATGTTACGTAATGAGTACTTCGTATAATGCGGAGTATTAGAACTTGGGTCATTTTTTATATGAACTTTAGGTTTGGAATTACTGTAAAATTTACCTTTGGCAATTGATATCTACACTCCACATTTTACTACTTGTACTCCACTTTTTTTTTATTTTTTAAAAGATTGACAATTTTGTCCTTTCAATTACAAATACCTCATTTTCATCATCTCTTTACATAGAAGAATTATTAACCTCTTTTTCTTCCACACTTTTGAAAATTGGCATGGAATAAAAAATTAGCCCTCCGTCTCATTTTAAATTGTCTGTTTGCCTTTTTTCTCCGTCCCAAAATAAGTTGTCTGTTAATTGTTTTCGTAAACTTTTAAAAATAAAATACCTAAACTACCCCTAAAATAAGTTACTCTTCTTCATCTTATCTTCTCATTCATTAATCATTATCACCCTTTCTAAAAAGTAATGACAATTTTGGAAAGGGATGCTAGAGTACAATTTAATCCTCAAAATTATAAATCTTGTTAAATAGTTAATATAAATATTAATAATGTAAAGGGATGATGAAAATGAGGTATTTGTAATTGAAAGGGCAAAATTGTCAATCTTTTAAAAAATAAAAAAAAGTGAAGTGCAACTAGTAAAATGTGGAGTGTAGATATCAATTGCCTTTACCTGTAGCCCTTCATTTCTCTACTTCATAATTTCTACTACTATGCTTTATATATACTCCGTATGATATTAACTTTATCAAGTTGGACTGGAACAAATGAGTTCTCCCGAAGCATGCTAAAGGAAAAAAAACAGTATGAAACACAATTGTTTTAATGCAGAAATAAATGTAGCCATTATCTAGGCACACCCTACAACACACAAATGATGTGGGAAATGAGATGTGTTCATTACGCTTCACAAATTGCCGAAAAATAATTAGTTCCACAGGCGACAGATCTCATACTCTCTGCAAAAGGGGAAAAAGACCGGGCTACCCTCGCGGTGAGAATGAAAGAAAGGACAATGCATGTGCATATGTGTTGCTGCTGATGACCATTTACATACCTAGGCCACCTCCTCTTGAACTTGGCCATCTGCATCGAACAATAAAGTTTACATATTTTGACTAATGAACACTCATGTTTGCACGTGTGCCTAAAAACACCATACCCGCAAGATGGATGGCCAAATTTGCCTGTTCATCAGCTTCGGCATTTGAGTCCTATTATAATAATCAATAAGAGCAAAACAAATGTTTGTAATGTCAATGAAGAGGCAATGCAGCAATTGGAGAATGTGAATGTGTCACTTCAACTATTCATTTGGTCAAAACCAACTCTTCGTTCTTTTGCATACTCTCTATGAATTCAATTTTACATCATACGGAGTATAAAAGTTCAATTGTTGCAATTTACTCCGCATGAAGTAGAAGTTTTATTGTGTTTTTTAAAACATCTAAACTTTAAAGACTAAGGGCTGTTTGGCAACTTCTGAATCGGTAAGTGCTGAACCAGTAAGAGGTCTGAACCATTAAGTGCTGAACCAGTAAGAGGTCTGAACCATTAAGAGCTAGTATATTGCTTAACTATTCAGAGGCAAATGTCTGATCAATTCAGATAAGAGGTCTTAATCATTCAGACTCTGTATAATACTTAACCATTCAGAGGCAAATCTCTTAACCATTCAGACATCTGAACCATTAAGAGGCTGAAACAAACAGTCTGAACCATTAAGTGCTGAGCCATTCAGACATCTGAACCATTAAGAGGTTCAAACAAACAGCCCCTAACTATAAATTAAATAATACGTAGTACTAGGCATTAAAAATTAAATTGAAATTAAGTTGAGACAAGTTTCAAAATTTACCGGAAGAACGTGGACAAGCTGGAAGGAATGGAATCTATCCTTCAATTGTTTTGCTTGCTCGTACAGAGTTGAGATATTTTCATTTTTAACCTTCCAAAGACCCTGGATCTAGTTTTACAAGGACTAAGTTTCACACAGTAAATCTATATTGACAGTGGAA